GTTGAGCCTTTTCGAAAGCCTCCTTGAACAGGTTGGCATCTAAAGCTCAGTTAGCAAAGCCATAATCGAAAACACATCTCGTCACGAATATCAACTTACTCTCACTGTTGGCGAAACGAATAGCCAGGGTCTGCGCCTCGGGCTCACCCTCACTGACATCGGCAGTGGCGTTCCAAACCCAGCTGCGATCACTGCCAACGTTGGGGCTCAACTTCATTGCAGGGACAACTAGATAGGCCATCAGTAATCCGGGTGAAGAAAAGAACAGGGTCCATATGCGCCAAACTTACTGTAGTGGTTGGCGCAGACCTTCAGGGTCTTGTCTCTGCGCATCACCAGGCGAGTCTTCTGGTTCTCCTTGTGCTTGAGCAGTCTAACATCGCCAGTACCACGCTCCTTCCATTCCTTGCTCTCAGCGTCGAATCGGAACAGCTTAGCGCGCATCTTGAAGGTCTGCTCCTCAAGTTCCTCGTTGGTCTTGGTTTCCACCTTCTCGGTCAGGCGGATAACAGGCTCAAAGTGAACATCAGGGGACTCAGGTGCTTCATCCTATAGATTAATGAATCGTTAGCCACCTGTACTGAGGCTAATCGAACTCGTAGCACGATTGACTCATAAGAGCCAAAAACATTGGTGCAGGAAAGTGATGATGATGTAGAACGCATGTTGAGCAAAGGAGCAGTCTAGCGAGCCAAAGGAAACAGGTACTCACGTCTTCCTCAGTTTTCTGAGCCTTGGAAGAGCCAGATGGCTCATCATTGTTATCCTCAGGTTCTTCCTTCTTTTCCTTCTTGGGACCACCGCCGAACATAGCGAAAACGCTGTCGGTTGTCTTGGTAACCGCCTCCTTAGCTGTGTCAGCTACGGCCTCAGTTGTAGACTTTTCCTCCTCAGTCTTGGGAGCTTCGGTAGAGGTGGTGGTCTCCTCGGGCTTCTCAGCCACCTCAGGAGCGCTGGTAGTGGGGTCAGGCTTGGTCTCAGGGATGTCGGACATGATGACGAGATGGGGATGAAGTTCTGCTGAGTTTGTGAGTTCCAGTGATTTCGGGCTTTAGTGGGAGCGCAAGCACATACCTATTGTTTTGAGATGGAAGAAGTTTTAGGGAGATGGTTATAGAGAGGGGGAGAAAATATGGTCGGCTGTTTTTGTTGTAAAAGGTGGGGGGTAGTTCATTGCCTCCGACCTAAGGCCGCTAGTGCCACCGCCTTGAAAGCCTCTTCTTATATTCTGCGGGCCACCTTGGGGAAATATCATTAAAGATTTCTAGGCGAAGAAAGAGTGGTAAAATCAAAAAAGGGTTTTTAGCATTTCACATGGTATTCATTACTACATAGCAACTGTCCCGAAACACTAACGTAGTTCCAGGCCTTTAAAAAAGTAAATGGAAGCAAAAATATCATGACCCTTTTCGCCTAGGAACAAGACAAACCATCCCTCCCCGAATAGCAGGAGGGGGAAGAAGAAGACGAATAAGGAGATGTACGAGGGAAGAGAAACACACTGAAGAAGAATAGGCACCGCAGGCACGTACGAAGAGCAAATACAAAGTTTGAAGCCGTGAACATAGACTAGTAAGCAAGGGTACAAGCCCGCAGCTTTTCTCACAAACATTCAGAGTGTTGGCACTTTCGTTTCATCAAGCATTTAGCTCTTCTCTGGGCCTTGTCTAGCGTATGGATCTTCCTTGCATTTCGAATATGGTCCTTCACAGATTTGAGTTCAAACCCATGTGCTTGATTGCTAATTCGATGCCATGTACCACTGATAATCTCCTGCGTCTCTTGGTTTACTTTGATGGTCTTTTCCTGCAGGACTGATGATACGGCGAGGAATGGCTGGACAGCAGTACGTCTGACGACTTCAGAAAGCTGCTTGGACATCGAGACAACCACGTCTTTTGTCTCAGAAAGTTGCCCAGTGCCATGACGGAGAACGTTTGCTTCTCGGCGTAAGAGATGGGTTTTTTTTACAACATCCCCCATAATGACTTGCAAATCAGTGCAAAGTCGACTGTATACTTCTGATAATCCAACTTGCGCGGTGTTGAAATCCCCCATAAATTGGGACGAGATTACATGTGCTGCCCGCCTCCAATTTGCGATCTTTAGCCACGGGGTTCCAAAGTCCACCGATGTGGTTTGGTGGAGAGGAGGTCTTGAAGCCATAGTGACTGTGACGTTCACAATTCCATACGCATCCCCTCGATCAAGTTTGAGTGTGTATACTCCATCAAACAAGCGAGAGAGCTCATATTCGAGCGGTTTGGCTCCTCGGCTCACTTGGACATCAAATTTTGGCTGTTTTTTCCCGGTCAAAGTTTTATTGGGTGGCTTTATCACAAGGTGGCAATCACCAACTGTCTGAATCTCAAAGCCATCCAACTCCTGCTTCTTAGGAGGGGACAATAGCCCGCCCATCATGTTGTCCAACTGAGAATGACCCTGGTGATGGTTCCCCAAAACTTGAACATTGGTCACCGATGAAGACAGTGTAGAGAGTGAAGTTTGTTTTAAATCATTTGCGGTGATAATACTGGTAGAAGTACGGCTCGGGGCATTGGATACAATATTGGAAATAACCGATCGAGAAACTTTTTGGGGGAATAGAATTGAAGTAGCACGCAAAGCTGAGTGTGCTAGAATGGTAGCTACGCTTAAGAGAACGGTGAGAGTGATTAAACGCAGCACAGGCGTCAAATCACGGTTGTCATTTAGGAAAGGGATGAAGGGTATTTTTGTTGTCCACTTCTCAACAAAGACGAGTGGCTTCCTCTGGAAGTTGCCGGTATTCTCCAGGGTGATGTTGTCAGACCTCTTAGTATAAATGCTCACCAAAGAGGCAAGATTCCTATTGAGCTGCCCTGGCATGATACTCTCAAAAGTCTCTAGATCAATAGGATACCTTCTTAGGACTGTGGCTTTTCCAGTCAGCGGATGACGAGACTCCAGGCACATGTGGAGGCTATGGTGATTCAGAGGAATTACTTCGGCCAGATCCCAAAGCGGCTTCTCAGATATAACCATAGCCGGAATGCCATGCCTTGCCATGAAAATGCGAGCCAGGTTTTGGGTCTCCATCACAGTTGCAGAGTCTCTGCTGGATAAGAAAAGAATCGCTACATCAGGAACGGTCCATTCAGTTGGGGATGAGACGCAATACTCGCCCCCTGTCCAGAAAGATGTGCAGGATGGCCGATTTTTGAAATCCAATCTAATGGTGTTGGGCTTATCATTTTGACAGTCAACAGAAGCTCTAGGGCACTCGTCAACAATAAGTTGGACATGGATTGGAAGGAGCTCAGCGAAATTAGGGACTGCGCCTGTCCCGAACGATGTTGGTACAACGTGATATCTAGAGGATTCTGTGGAACTGCTTTCAAAGTCACTACAGGTGCTCGACACAAGGACATCTCCAATTTTGTCGAGAATGATGTTTCGAAACTCAGTATCTCCGATATAAAGCACACGGAACGGCTTATCAGTGTCAAGGCTCTTCTTCGTCATAGTTTGTTGAACGGTGGCTGTAAGAATTGAGTCCTGCAGGTTGACAGAAAACAGACTCTTCAGCTCGTCTGCTTCGATACCTTCAAACATACGGATAGTGTGTTTCAGTTCCACTTGTTCAACTTCAGGCCAATTTTCAGGCTCGGTAAACTCTATCGATTCGGTTGATTGACGAAAAGCAGTCTTCGTGGTTATGTTACTGTCATCGATAGAGCATCTGGCCTGAGGGAAAAGAGCGGGTAGTTCCTGAGATTCAGAAATGTTGCTTTTCGAGTCATAATCGTCTTCTTCGTTCCCATAAACCTCGCTACCGCTATACTGCTCGTCGAGGCTTGCAACGTCATCCGGACCGGCTTGGTCAATTAGAGACCCAACGTCGGTTTGTTCAGAGCGGCTACCATCCTCAGAATGAACGTCGGAAGCGCTCAGTGTTGCCCAGCTGTCGCTCAGTGGTCTGGGCGTGTAGTCCGCCAGATGACTTGACGTCATACTGATAGGCCTTGAGCGGGACAACCACTCTTCAACTGAGCCACTTAGAGGAGGAAAAGTTGGGTACCGCAGATGTGAAGAGGATGAGGCGAGGGATGGGCGTCTGGAGTGAGGCCTTGGAGAGTCAGCCATGTCGTCAGTGTGGAAGTAGCATGGGGCAAAAGTCAGAGTAAGCCAGGTCCAAAGACGCGGAGATTCGGTCGAGTACAATAGACGTAGGCTAAGCCAAAGAGCAAATAAAACAAAGATCAGCGGGAGGATACGTTATCTGTCGAGAGGGAAGCTTTTGCTCTGTCCGTTTTAACGGCAGAGGGCTGTTTTCGTGTGGATATCCCTCGATAAGCTCAGCCTAAAAAGCGGATGCCCGATGACGAGGCGGACGTTGTGGGGTGAGGGAGGGTCCCGGGCCCGAGCGGAGTAGTATATTAGACGGTTCTAAACCCGTGACCAAACTGATGATGAAGAGAATCTTTTCGATATCGAGTCTATAAAGTTCTCAGCATGGTAAGACTCAGATTATAGATAGTGGCGTTGTCAAAGGTTGAAGATGACCGTGGGAGAAGATGTTAGGAGGATAGAGTTGGAGATGGTGACTGCCACGCGCGGGGCACATGACAGGGAGATCTGTGGTGTGCTTACTAGTACTAATGACTAGGCACGGAATTCACCTGTCACGGTCCGAAGGAGGATTAACTGAACAGGAAGGTATACGAAAAGCTGCGAATCTATGGATATTACTTAGGTGGCCTGCTTGTCCCCTTATTGCCTGGATCTCTCGAGCACTACTAATACTTTATCATGTGCACTTCTTCTAAAATCGAGCTGATAAGGCATCTCTTTATCTCCTATCAGGCACCCACTAACCTGAAGGAGCCTAGTTGATGCAGCTAGTACTCATTGCCCAGCCACGGCCATTAGTACTACTAGTATTACTATCCAGCCTTGAGGAAAGATGTAAAACCCTTTACATACAAAAAGAAATCTCATACTCTATGAATAAGCCATGCTGGGAGTCGTTTCTTTGCGTTCTTTGCGGCTATGCATCTAAAATGACCTAGTTTCACCAGGATTTCAGAACAAGGAAAGGAAGAGAAAAAAAGAAGATATGTACAATTCATGACATAACGGCGAGAAAGGGTAGGAATAAAGGTGAGATATAGAACAGGGCAAGGCAGTGCATCAGGACATCGGGCATAGATTAGTGGTCTCTGCAAGGATAAGCGGACCAAGAAGGGTTAACGCCGCAAGTAGTTCCATCTTCATCGGCCCACCGAAACTTAGTATTGTACCCAATGACAGCCACGTTCCTGAGGTGAACGGAACATACAGTAATATGCCAAAGAGAATTGCGGAGCAGGAGGCATAATCGAAACCAGGCTAGCGCGCATCGAGCCTTGGTCAGAGGCCGCGAGAAACAGAGGCGTGAAATTCTCAACGTAGCCAAGAGCGACGTAGAGAGAACGGTCCTGCCTGTGGAGAGACCGGACATAGATTCCGGTAGAGGTTCTCGGTGACTAACTTGAAGCTGACGGCTGGACAGTAACCGTCTTCTTCCAGAAGAAAGTCTCCCTGTTTTAACAAGAACGCGGCAATCCAAGTGAAAACATACAAAGCACGCTAGATGAATTTGTGAATATTGATGAGAATGATCACACCATTTTCCATGAAAGAAGCTGTCAGATCCGTTGAACGCCGCCCAGAACCCCACAGCCAACATAAGATGACGGATCAAGCAACAATAACTCCAACGGCAACCCGAGTAATGCTCATAGTTGAACAAAAAAGGCATGGAAACGAGGAGGCGGTGACTATACAGCGGACAAAGCATGAAGTTGCCCGAATCTAGGGAGAAGCCCAACCTCCCGCAACTTCTACCCACTCGGCAAGACAGCTGCCTTGTTTACCCTCAACATCCACGATATCTGTGTCACACCTGCACCTGCAACCGACACCGTTCTCTTTGACGGGGTCGGGATTTGCCCAGTACTCGTCCTCTTCGAACCGCGCTTTCTCATCTTCCGTAGTCATTTCAAGCCACGGGATTCGTGGGAGTTGTCGGGCGGGAGCGTTAGCGGGGCAATGTTGGATGGTCGTATGGCGGTAGCCAAAATCGCGGAAATAGTGGATGTCGCTGGGCGAGAGAAGAACGCCTGCGGCTAGCGAGTGGATAGGCGCATCACCCCACTGTGATTACGTTGTTAGCCTGCAGGGAAATCAGGGTTCTGGGGAAGTCTCAGATACTTACTCTTTCCATCCAGAAACCACCGCTTCTATCCATCATTTCAAAGAACTCTTCGTATTCCTTACTGCGGAACCAGTCCAAGCGTGCGATTTCAAAGTTACTCCAAAAATGGCACATGTTATACTTTTCGCCTTCCATGGCCTCAGGGTCGACATCGGGAACAGTGTTCTCTCCAGGCTCATTTTGCAGGATTTCCTCGGGAAGCTTATCCTGTTTTCCTTCCTCGGGCTTGGGCTCCTCCTCAGGTGGCCTTTCGAGGAACATCTCCCAAAGTCCCTTTGACTCGAGATTGTGTTTCCGCTTATAGGCCGATGCATAGCGGAAGATGTTGGGGACAGTCTCACGAAGTTCTTTAACGGCAATCGTAAATCCATAGGTTTTATTTGCTTCAGCCATTTTGACGAAAGGGTCGCTATATACGTGTAAGTGATGGATGCTCAATCTCAGTACGAAACGGTGCCAAGGGTTGATCTCACTAGGTTATGTCACAAAAGTAACTGATCTCTGGCTCCAGACGCCAGTACCATTCATACTTCATGAGGAGGGGATGTTTGTAGAAGAAGCTGTCTACAGCATTAGTACCTTAGAAAAGTAACGCTGAACCAAGTATACTGACCCAGAATAGAATCTGCACATATGGTGGTAACTCTCCATTCCACCATACATAATAGCGGCGTCACCCTGCTTTCTGATGCCTTCCTTTGCCACATCATGGTCAACCCACTTTGGATAACCCCACATGGTATCGTCAATCTTGCCGAATTCCACAGGAGCACTTGTATAATTCTTCACGGTATCCTTGAAATTGTCATCAAAATCGCCGTCGTTCAAAAACACGTAAGGATAGTGGAACCATCGGTTGAAATGTCTCTCAATTGACTTGAGAGACTGGATGACGCCGTCCAACTCCTTATTCCTAGCGAGAACGACGAACGCAGCGTTCGCACGTTTGCCCTCAACCTCTTTCTCAACCTGCAGACATCCTGAGGCGAAGACCTTGTCATGCTTTTCACTTATTTTTCTAAAAAGTGCGGCAGAGTTGTTAGTGACCGAGAACATTAAAGGGTCTGTGCATATGTTTCAAGATTATACTAACCTTATAGATGGAGGTGTGCCAGCTGGGATTAAAATACCCCCGGGAGAAGAAGGGTGTCGAACAAAAAGAAGCAAAACCAGGACTATTACAAGGCATGGAAATAGTAAAACAAATCCCAAGGGTATAGAAATCGATGAATTGCCCTTCAAGCGTATTCTTCTTTTAAAGAACGCGAATCTGGAAATGGTGCGGCCCTTTTCGCGCGAACCGTCATCCACAGGGAGACTCGGCGAAGAGGGCAGCCATTTTGAGATTCGCTGCGTCAACCCCATGGGCGCAAGGCTGACACTGCGTCGATTAAAAAGAGATCAAGCCAAGTAGTGTTAACAGAATCCACTGAACATGAAAGAAATTTTGCGGAAATCCGGGGAAGACTGAGTCAATGACTGCCGTATCTGAGTGAAAATCGGGGTTGCTGAAAGGGGAACGGTTCGCATGCAAGTAACAGTGAGGTTAACCCACACTTCTAATGCTAGCGAGATACGCTCCGAGTATATGATATCTTATGCGATTAATAGGTTTATTGACGAGAAGAGATAAAGATGTTGGCCACCGAACATTAAAAAAATAGAATAAAAAACGAGCGGCCGGAGGAAATGCCTCCTTTCCAACTTTTCCCCTTTCAGTTGTCGGCCAGATAGAGATGGCGGGAAACGTTGACAGCAACGCAGGGGACTGATGTCCTTAGCAATGAGGCCGGGAACACGGAGCAAGTCGACGAGCTCATCAATCGCGTCAGGCTGGAAGAGGAACTCGGGTGGGAGGTCGGAGACTGCGGGAGGCAATCGATGAAATGAAAGATTATTTTGGGGATGGGGATGGGTGGAAGTTTCGCCAAGACCAAGGAGGCGCAAGCGGTCATGGTCACGGACGGTAAACTTACCCACTAAATTGGAAGGTCGCAAGTCTTTCGTATGTTTCTAGTACGGGTTTGAATACCGTACTCGGTATGGAACCTCCGGAGTCCGGAGAGCACCAAGCAATCGCTGGTTAGTAAATTATTGCTTAGGCGCTGCTCGCCCATCAAATTGATTACTAAAAATTAGCAACACAAGGAATAGGATGATGGCGCTTGAATCTACTATTCCAGTTATTTTCACCCTTGGTTATCCTTGGTTATCGAACTCGGTCAGGGATCCTCTCATAGGGGATTTCAGACTTCACTATGCATATGTATGGGAGAGCCCGAAGCTTAAATGACCTGCAAGACACGTACGTCTTCACTGGATTAGCCAGTATTTACTTAAGCTGTTGCACGATAGTTAGATGCTTGGTATGTACCATCATTCCAAGAGGTCTAAGGGCACCACGGGACATTTTTCTATTTGTCTTTCCTTTCTTCCTTGTCTTTTAAACTTCCCTAAAGCCTTGGCTTTGTTGTTGCTATCATTCGGTAGTAAATAGTTCCAAGTTACGATTACCTATTAAGCGCCCCAATGCACCAGGGGGATAATAAGAATGGAGTACTCCGTACTCCGTCAGTGCACCAGACTATAAGAAGCCTGTAATTATTACAAGTTTACGGAGTACTACAGCCATCCCCAAAGCATGGGATTTATTACAAGAACGTTAAGATAACAACGAAGGGATAAACACAAATCTATATACATACAACTGAGTGAGCACCAAGAGGAATCTCCATGATTGCTTTGTGAGGTTGTGAAGGGGAAATCACGTAAAATCGTCCTTTCGGCATCACCCTAGCCTTAAGATTCGACATGATCACGGTTGTCCACGCTGTTGGTCACAGAAGCTTACCCCAGTACTAGTACATGCCAGTCTTCATAACTATAGAAGTTGCTGACAAGATATGTGATATCGTAGCAGCCTCATAAGATAGCCTTAGCAGCAAGGCAATGAAACGAAGCAAGTCACACACAACATGGTAAGGCTTGGTACAAACGATTCTGGGATATGTACGGAGTATGGGGTATTGGCCTAAAAATTTCCCTATATCCGTGCTTTATGGAGTAGTATCGACTCTATTTGAACGGTTGACCTAAAAGATGTATTGATGCTGTACACATGGCAGAGCGTAAGGTGTTGTAAAGGGGTACTTGTCATACATTGTACCGTGGACCGGTAATTTATGCATCCAGAACCCTGAAGCTCCACAGGTCTCCACGTGACCCCTTGGCAGTAAAAGGGATTTGACAATGTGGCCTTTTAGCCCGTTCGACAACCGATGTGCAGCAGGTAGGGCATCACAGTCGAGATGATAATTCTTCCACCCATATGGCACGATCCATATGACTTCTCATAGACTGTCGCATCTAGACTCAAATGTCATTGATCATCTCATGTTTGCATTACATCAACTAGCAGCTGTATTACAATAGCCATCGTGCAGAATCCACTTCACGTTTGCCGTGATTGGGTCACTAGAGCTCTGCTACAAGTGTCGGTCCAGGTGCATCGGCCCTTATGTATGTACGCCCCGTGTACTACTAGTAGTATGGACGCGACTACCTAGAAATTCCGTAATACCCTACTACTACCTGTAGGTCCACGAAACATGCATACATATTACAGAGTGTTTGGAGCTTACCGCTCTTGACCCTTCGGAAATTCAATCGCAAAATAGGAAGTTGTGTCGGCCCGGTATGCTAGGGCTGTGTATGATCAACCCCGTAAAGGTCTTTTTCTACTAAATAGTACTTCCTTGAGTATAGTACTTATTTAGTTGCTCTATGCAAGCTATACAGGCAGTATGTTGCCCAGTACTCCGTAAGTAGTACGACTTTGCTTTCATCCAAGTATCTATTAGTAGTAGATAGTGCCAGAAGCCCTGTGACACATGACTCGTTATCTTCTGTCTCACGGATGATAATTGGTTGTCTAATATCCTGTATGCGGGGACAAGACTCAGTGACCAGGCGCTTCCAAATCGAGTCTCACTATCATAGTACTACGGAGTAAGAAGAACAGATCTCACTTTTTCCTTCGTCGGTTCTTCACCAATTCGCCTGTCTTCGTGAGTTTTTGACGAACCCTTGGGGTTCAAATAGAGCTTAATCTTAGAGAACTCAAGTCACCTCGGAAATAAGCCCTACTAATTATTTTCCAAGACCGGCGAGGACTAACTCCATCGCCGGCACAATAAAAACCCAACATTCGTATACCAAATCTCACCGAGGGACCTGAGGATTCAGTTCCTAGACTGGCCCAATGCACGAAAAGTAGTTTTCGTTTCAGTCCGCTCCTGACAGCCTACGCCGACGAGGGACATGTTGTTTTCAATCTCATACGATGGTAATAGTATCCAATATGAATCTGCTGCAACTCTATGCTTGCCCTTGGATTGAATGGTGTGTTGGTCTTCGCTCTAATCTACACTGCTGGAGGTCTCCCAGTGAATATAAGATCTTGGTAGTATGCATGTTTTGACACTGGTAAGGTGAATAAATGGACTTGAGTTGTAATGGCGACATGATGTTGGGCAACCAAGGCCAGACAATGAATTCATATAGTATGTCAGTTAGAAGATGGGATATTGTCGATTGATCAATTATGTCGACGGCCCCCAATCTTGTAAGGGAAGCCGGTCCACCTAAGCTGCATGGCCATCAGTCCTACCATGTTCTGCACCTTTCAACTCACTACTACTAATGATCTCTTTAATTTTGGGACACTCTTTCCTGAAGAGGACAAAAGGGGGGGGGGGGGGGGTTTCGTATCTATGCACTGCAACCGACCATGGTCCCTCAAGGTCGATGACCAATTAATATTGTGTAACTATTTACGGAGTATTTCATCCATGGATCCAAAGCGAGACCAACCCTCTTGCCGGCAAACCGGCAAATATCGTCTGGCTATCTGTCTCTCTCACACTAGAGAAAGGGGTAAAAGGAGAATCAATCCACCGAAAGTCTAGTCCGTTGGTTCAACGTTAGACTATTGCTTAGCTTGGTGATAGTTATGTAAGTTAACAAGCGAGTGGACTGGACTTGAATTAACTACTGTGGGCCGGTTAAGTATACATGTTGTAAATGTGTGTTGG